ACAAGAAGGGACGGCGTGCAAGACACGAGAGCCATGACGAGCTCTGCCGCCAGAGCGCAGATGACAAGTTTCTGACACCGAAGGAGGGTTCCGAGATCTTTGCGAAAAAGTGCAGCGAATTGCGGAAAAGATGGCCAGAGAGGCAGAGCCAAGCTCTCGCCACAAGCTGCGGGTTGGGTGACGCAAGAAGCCATCAACGACGCCAGCATCAAACTGCCCGCCATAGAAACGCTCCTCGCCACAGAAACGCATTCCTCGCCTTAGAACAATCCTGCTCGCTGGCAAGTGGGAAGGTTTCCCCCGCCGTGGAAACGTTGTCCTCGCCAGAAACGCTCCTCGCCACAGAAACGTGTTCCGACTGACACGCTCCTCGCCATAGACACGTTATCCTCGCGATTTCTCTGCACACGTGAAGCCAACTGACACGAAGGTGAGCAGGCTGAATACATGATGGAAGAGCATGCCACGCAGAGCCTGCGGCGCAGTGTCCTTGCGATCGGACCGAAGCTGCACGGGGCCAAACTGCCACGCTCGAGCCGCACACTCGCAAACAACACCACCCATGGTTAAGAGCTACCCATGGGGCAAGCTGGGAGATAGCAGAGCAGGATCAGTCAGCATCGAATCGGGAAATCGGATAGAACCAGAACGTACGTCGGATCGGGCCGCACCAGTACGAAATCGAAATCGGATATCAGCGGCTGCACCAGGACGCACAACAGCGTGATTCAAGCATCGGACCGCATCATATCGTTGAAAGATCCTGAAGGAACCAGATAGGGCCAGCCGAAATCGATGTCGAATCGGATCGAAACGCTCTGCAAGCAGCCCCAAGCCAAATGTGCGTTTCAAAACCTTGTTTATCCTCTGGGTCATCCCGTGGTGTCCCGCGGGTTGTCCCGTGGTCGTCGCGTCAGCTGCCCCGTGGGACACTCAAATTGACATGCAGTCCAATGGCAGACGAACACAGAGCACGAATCGAGTGGCAGTCAACCTGCTCATCGAAAGTAAAATCGAAAGGAAAATCCAAAAGCACATCGGGAATCCGCCGACCCCTTGGGTCACCAGCGTGTGAGATGCTTCCCCCTCCCCAAACCCCTCCCCCGGGAACCCGGTCCGGTCGATTTGGAGGGGGGGGGGGGTGCCGACCACGAGCGACTCACGACGCTAGTCTGGGCCCAAAAAGGCCCAAATACGGGCCAAGAAGGCCCCAAGAGGCCTCCCAGACGTTCCAAGAGGCCCCCAGACGCCCCAACAGACCGCCTAGACGCCCTAAGAAGCGCCCAAGAGGCCCCAAGAGGCTTCCAAGACGCCCCACGATGGCTCCAAGACGCCCGAAGAGACCTCCAAGACGCCCCAAGAGACCCTCAAGAGGCCCCCGAGGAGCGCCCCAAGAGGCCAAAATCGTTGATTTTCATTGGTTTTTTTTGATGTTTTCGTCATGTTCGCCTTTTCGGCTTTCCGCCGCTCCAAAACAGCCCAAGAAGCTCCCAAGACTGTCCAAGACGGCACAAGAGGCCTCCACGACGCCCCCAAGACGGCCCAAGAGAGCCCCCAGACGGCCCAGGAGCCGCCCAAGGCGGCCCAAGAGAGCCCCCAGACGGCCCAAGAGCCGCCCAAGACGGCCCAAGAACCTCCCGGAGACGGGCCCAAGAGGGGCTCCAGAGAGAGACCACGCACCGGAAAACCCAGCCTTACGCCCCAAGAGGCCCCCAGGAGGCCCCAAGAGGCCCCAAAGAGGCTCCAAGAACCCCCCAAGAGGCCCCCAAAACGTTCCAAGAGGCGCCCAAGAAGCCACAAGGAGGCCCCAAAACGGCCCCCAAGAGCCTCCGAAACTGCTCCAAGAGGCCCGCAAGAAGCCCCCCCGCAAGATCCCAACGGACATCTCCGAACACACCGGTTTTTCGAGTCGCGCCCAGCCCCATAACCCGGAGCCTCATCTCAGTGTCCCCCTCCTCCTCCTCTTCCTCCTCCTCCTACACTTCCTCCTCGTTCCCCTCCTCCTCTTCCTGCCCCGCTTCAGCTCATCCTCACCGATGCTTCTCCCCCCCATTTTCCGCCTCACCCCCCATCCTCCTCTTCCCGTCCTCCCTTTTCTGCCCAGTACGCGCAACCGATTGGGCATCATTTGCACGTCTTGCACTTTAGGGTGCCCTTCTTTGCGTCGCGCGGGACATTGTGCGGGTCGGGGAACGCCGACTTTGGTAGTCCTCTCTTGCACGCGCCGCTGAACTGATAAGCCTGGCAACTGCGCGCTGTGAACCCGAGTTCCTCGCAGCTTCTGCACACCACTTTAGCTCCTTTCGCTGCTCGATGATGTTCCACTTGCTTCTGCTTCAAATGTTTCGTGTCCGAGAACGCGCCTTTGCACGCCGCGCACGTCAGCGGCTTCGCGTCCGCCTCTGCTTTCCGCTTGCGATTCTCTGCATCCGCCTCCAAAAAAAACAAGGGGTCGGCGGTGTGGCGTAAGCCTAAGGATCAACAATCAAACCACCACGTACTTGCATTAGCGACACGAACTCACACGAGTCGCCGACTCCTTCGGGCCCGATCGGCGCGGAAGGGCCGGCGCCCCTCCCCAAAAACTCCTGCTCCCCGGGAGCCCGGCCCGGCCAGCGTGGAGCTGGAGGGGTCGGGCCGACGGGGCCAGCGGCCCCGTCTGCTCCAGAGCAGACGGCCTCAGGCGGCCTCGACGTGGCCAAAAGAGGCCCCGAGAGATCCCCAAGCAGCCTCCACGCAGCCCCAGGCGGCCCCCCCCAAGACGCGTCCAGACGGCCTCAGGACAGCCCCGAAGCCTCCAAGACGCTCCCAGAGGGCTACAAGGGAACCCCCAAAAGGACCCCAACCAGCAATGTCCCATTCCGTTCAGGGGACTTTCTTTTTCAGCATAGTTGCGTCTTTGCTTTTAAAAACGCCCATGGCGGCCCAAGAGGCCCCCCATATCGCCCCAAGACGGGCCAAGAGACCTCCCAGAGGGCTCCGAAGATTGCCAATACAGCACTCAAGAGGGCCCCAAGACGGCCGAAGAAGGCACCGACGTGGCCCAGGAGGCCCACACGATGGCACCAAAGAAGCCCAAAAAGATTGCCTCCAAAAGCGCCAGACGGCGTCAGAGAGTACACCAGCGCCCCAAGACGCCCCCATGAGGCCTCAGAAAGACCCCTCGAAGCGTCTATGCCCCCAAGAGGCCACCACAAGGCAATGATCATGCCCTGCACGCTCCAGACGTGCACCCCTCGAAACGCGAGGAATCCAGATTCCCATGACAATAGCAATCGGAATGCCCAGTTGTCCTGCCCTTGCTTGCGAGAAGGAGCCCTGAATCTCTCGTACCCCAGCCCCCTTCCCTCCTCCTCCTCCTCCTCCTCCTCCTTCTCCTCATCCTCATCCTCATCCTCATACTCATCCTCATCCTCCTTTTCCTTCTCCTTCTCCTTCTCCTTCTCCTTCTCCTCCTCCTGCTCCCCCTTCTCCTCCTCCTTCTCCTCCTCCTCCTCGACAGCCTTGGGTCGCAGACCTCCGACGTCGCGGTTTGACGTTTCGGAAACGGCCGATCGTTGACGGTTGAACGATGTCCGCGGTATAAGTTCAGGTAGCATGTGCACCGCGTTCACGCATTCCGACCGACCGCATTCCGACCGCAAAGTACTGCAGCTACGGACCTGAGAATTTCACAAGCAGACGCGGCATAACCCACTGCACGTGGGCAAATACTGATTCTCAAAACGAATTTCCAAATCTCCCGCTATCTTCCAAAAAACGACCCCAGGTCATCACAATGTCCGCCCTGGCCGGGTCGGTCAACTGGCTCCACCACGCGCCGAAACTGGGCGCGGCGGTAAACCGTCACCTCGTAGAGCTTTGTACACACATAACAGTGCTGTCAGAAAGATCCCTGCAATATCAGCTTGCAAACAAGGAGATCATGTTTTAGAGTTCTAACGGAAAATCAGTTCCACACCTTTTCTGAGTAGCACAGCAGCTAGGGACCTCATGATTTCCAAGCAAGCAATTCAGGAACTACTCCAGCTGCAGAGAAACTGCATTCCCACAAAGATTGCCAAATTTTTGAGAATTCCCAGACAACTTCGAACTTATTGATGAAAATATGTTATTTTTCGGTTCTGGCCTTAAATCGATAGGGACACTGCAATTAAATCCCTGAGTCTTTTCGAGTGAACGCAGCGTGATTCAATGATCACACTAGAAGAAGATTCAATTCCGAAAAGAACTGTGAAAGGTGGTCCCCCCAAGTGTTTTGATAGTAATACTGCAGCAGGGGACAAGCTCGACATAACCTGCTACAGATGCGAAAAACTGTGATACGAATTCTCAAATCTTTCAGAATGTCCCCCCAAAGTTGCCGCATTGTCCGCCCTGGCGGGGTCGGTCAACAAGCTCCACCCCAGCTCCACCCCAGCGCCGGAAGAGCTCTACGACGAGTTCGGAAACGCTAACAAAGGGTGCTTCGGAACATGCTGCGGGCAACTGGCGTCGAGGCTTCCTGCCGGAAGCCGAAACGACTGGGGCGATCCTGCGGTCTCGGCTTCTTATCTAACTGGGTGCCCGCGGCGAACCACCAGGTTTTTTTGCGTTTGCGTGGGCGTGGAAAGCTTCACAGAAGCCCGCCCGAGCAGATCAGGCCCAAACGACGCCGACAGCTCCAGGGGGGCCTAGGGACTGCGCAAAACCATTTCGGCGGCTTGGAGCAAGCCCTCGAGCCCAGACAATTCGGCGTGGGTGGCGGTGCTTTCGGAGGGGAGCGCGCGGGCCACCACGGCGACGCCCCTCCAAGCGAGTGGGTCGCAGTGAGGCGCGCGAGGGAAAGGCGCGCGAGCGCGCAAAGTATACCTGAGGTTGGGAAAGGAGGAGGAGGTGGGAGTCAGACCAGCTTGCAGCCAATACCCAATACCGACTCCAGAGGCATCCAGTCCACCATCTCAACGACCGCGGAGGGCGACACAAGCACAGGAATCCTGTTCGAAACCACGCAATACAGGTCACGTTCTGCAACACACGCGGCCACTACGTGCATCACGGGTGAGCTCGTCAGCTCGTGCATTACTCTCACGATATTCGTGTTTGCAAAAATCTCGGCCACAGCTAGAAGGACGTGCTCGAAAATTCTCTTCCAAGTACTCAAGCTTCTGGATAACCTCATCCACCCTGGCTTTGTACGTGTTGCTACCCACCCACCACCTACCATTGATCCATTCAGTAATCAAGAGCGAGTCACCACACAGCTCCAGGCCTATGCCAGGAGAGCCGATGTCCCACGCGGTCTGCCTCTCGTTCAGGACAGCGAGTCTCTGCGCGAGCTTGATTGCAGCACTTCCCGAGATGCCCTGTGAAAGCATCTCCTCCACCACCATCTTGACCTCCGTCTCCTCCTGCACCCTGCCTCCTCCACTACCCATAAGTACGAAGTATGTATATGCTCTCTCGTGCTTGCAGTGCTTCGAAAACGTCTGAGCAAATTTCTTGAATCATGCGTGAGAGAAGTCGCACTCGCGCCACCAGTGCATACCAAAAATCACATGGAACATACGTCACCAGGGTCTTTCGCCAGAGGACATGCCACTATTTCTCACACGCTTGAGCTTTGAGGCGTCTGCCCAAGCACCTGTGGCACGTGCTTTTTCGCTGAACGAAGTGCGATTCTCCCCCCACTTCCCAGCTCCACACATCATGATATTTCGCGCATCCCTCCAAGCCCTCGCTCCCCGACAGGTGGATGGCGGAATAGAAAGGCGGCAGCGCTTCCTCTCGTCCTGAGACGGGATGTATACCACCCGAGTCTGAAGCGCGAAACTCAGCAACGCCTCTGCCGAGCTGCCCAGAGTGGCACAGCCCACGCTGCACACAAGAGAGAAAAATCCGTGCTGAGCGAAAAGAAAACGAACGGCATCGAGACGGGGAGGCCTCCAGACATCCAACGACGCGCCCACAGGTTTCTTCCCCCACACATCCTGAGTCAGCATACGCTTTCAAAAACATGAGCCTTGTGGATTGACACCGCATCCTTGGAGACACATTCCGAGCCACGCAGGAGAGCACTCCGAACCACCGACACGCACTTGCGAAATGCAAGGTTGCAGGGAGCGGCTCTCGACCGAAAGTACCTGATGAGACCGAAGAACGCTTTACGAACAGCCACCAGTCCTCTCTCCAGATCGGCATGCCCAACACCAAACTGGATCGGGACATCGTTGCCTAGAACATTGAGCGCCTGGAAGGGGTCGGAACTGCGTGACACAGCCCGACGCAAGAGTGCGCAGCGGCGCGGCAGCACAACCAAACGCAGCAACGTCCAGGGAGCCGGGCTTCCACTCGAAACCCCAGTCATTCAAGCACGCGGTGAGATCATCGATCTGCTGTTGGAATACGGATGTGTCCTCCCCACTCCCTATCACGAAAACATTGTCGGCATAAAACAAATGGTCGACTATTGACTTTAACAAACGAGTCGACACATCCCGCGCTCTTGCAAACATCCCACCCACCTACCCGCAACGTGGTGTGCAAAATATCTTAAGACCGTGACGGCGGGTGCCAAATGGCACTTGGCAACGACAGCGACGCCGACGACGACAGCGATAACGACGACGACGACGCCGACAACGACTACGACGACACCGACGACGTCTCCAACGACTTCGACGACGCCGACAACGACGATGACGACGACGACACCGACGACGACGACGGCGACGCAAACGACGACGACGACGATGACAACGACGACGACGATGACGACGCCGACAACGACGACGACGACACCGACGACGACGACGACGACGTGAACGACGCCGACGACGACGACGACGACGACGACGGCGGCGACGACGACGACGCCGACGTCGACGACGACGAAGACGACAACGACGCCGACGCCGACGACGACGACGAAGACGACGACGACGTCACCAACGAAGACGACGACGAGGGAGGAGGGAGGACGGCGACGGCGACAACGACAACAACGACGACAACAACGAGGGAGGAGGGGGGACGGCGACGACGGGAAGGACGAAAAAGGGGGAAGGACGGCGACGCCGACGACGACAACGACGAGGGAGGAGGGAAGACGACGACAACGACGACAACGACGACGACGACGACGACGGCGACGAAATGGAAGGGACGACGACGAGACGCCGACGACGAATGGCGACGACGACGAGGGAGGAGGAGGAAGGACGACCACGGCGACGACGACGACGGAAACGACCATGACGTCAAAGACGACGACGACAACGACGACGACGAACACGAGAAAGACAGAGGACGACGTAGGCGACAAGAACGACGACGCGGGAGGAGAGGACGGCCACGACGACGACAGCGACAACGGCGACGCAAGAGCGCGCGCACGCTATTGTTGAAAATTCGTGTTGCGATCAACAAATCAGTGTTGAGAAACCTTGTAATCTTGTATCTTGGAAACTCGATTCCGAAATCCTCCAGGCACCGAAGCTTTTTCAATGATTTCGGCATGTGCGCGCAACGACGCGCGCGCGCGTGCACTTCGTCCCATGTTATGCCAGGGATGCGTGAAGAAGTGATAGAATTGAACAACAGATGTCCCCGCGCATCGTTTCTTACAGGGATACCTCAGGGGGACAGATACCGGTTCCCCTGGGATATTCTTACTTCATGCTGGCACCGGCTGTGAACCGTCAACCTGGTCACCACCGGGTACTTCGTAGAGCTCCTTGTACACGTAAGGAGTGCTCAGAATCGAAAGAGAGAGCTTCTGGAAGCATTACTCGAAAAAGTGAAAATTGATTTTTTGTCATTTGATGGTAAAATTGCGCCTAGGGAGCACATACGGGCGCCAAACCGCCAACCTGGTCAGCGCCGGGAAAATCTCGTAGAGCTCCTTGCACGCGTAAGTCTTCAGAATCGAAGCACAAAAAAATCGTAGAAGATGTCCTTTGAATCTTAATTTCTCCAAAATCTTAATTTCTCCATTTTTGCATGTCAATGTGAAGTCGGCTCCCGGAAGTGAACTAATACTAAAACTTCCTCTAGAGAGATGAGCCGCTCTGAGACCAAAGTTTATATGCGTATGCTTAGCGTAAAATCTGGTTTCTCAAATTGAATGGTCAAATATCTGTCAAATCTAAGCGAAACCGACCCACAGTCATCACATTGTCCGCCCGGGAAGGGTGGGCGAACTGGCTGCATCCCGCGTCGGCATTCCTCTAGCTCATCGATGCGGAAGAGCTCTACGAGGTATCAAGACTGGGGCCGGCGGTGAATCGTCAACCTGGTCACCGCCGGGAATCTCGTAGAGCTCCTTTTACGCGTAAGAGTGCTCAGAATTGAAGCAGAGAACTTCTCTGAAGATTTTCTCAACATGTTCAACTTGGCCATTTTTTCTGTGACAACCTGATGTTGGTTGCTCCAAATGTTGGCCGTAAACGGTTAACCTTAGTTACCACCGTCATCTCAAAAAAAAGGTAGCCGATTACGAAAAGTTCCTGGTTTCAACAAAATGGCGCGTCTGATGATTCCCCTCGACAGAAGCTCCATTGCTTATATACAGCTCGAGTTATACGAAAATGTTGACATGATGTGTGAGACCAAGCTCTTGTATCAGACGAAGTATGTGTGTCTAGATACTTTAGATTAACGCGTCTGATCATTTTTTTCCGACTGCTGTGACAAGCAGCTATGTAGCTGATCTCCAGCTTCAGTTCAGTCAAGAAAACCATCACCATCCCTAAGAAACTGGGACCTGGCGGTGAACCGTCAACCAGGTTACCGCCGGGAGCCTCGCATTGCTCTTCTGTCGCGCGGCGCTGCTCGGAACACGTGGAGGAGGCTTTGGTTTTCATCCAGTGTTGGTTCCGCCAAGTGCTTTGATTGTAATACTGCAGCTATCGACCAGAGAATTTCACAGACAGAAGCAGGATAACCCACTATAGGCGACAAATACAGGTGACCAGAACAAATAGTGACACCTCTGACGAGCTCCGAGCCGAGTTTGCGCGAAGTAAGCTGTGAGGTGGAGGTCAACCTTCCAAACGACGTTTCCGGGGGCTTGGACTGGCGCTCCGGGACACAATGCTTCGGGCAGCTTGGGCGCGACGCGGTCTGTGGCTCTGCCAAAGCGCTTCGCGCACCCTGGAGCTGCGCGTGCTGGAAAACGCTAGGAAGCCACGTCCCCCGACTCGCTGGAAGCTCAAGTAAGCCCCTGCGGCGGTTTTGGACAGGCGATCTCGGGTGTTGGGCTTCCGCTCGCCACCACTTACCGGCTTCTTCCCTTCCGCTGCAATCAGCTATCCGGGAATAAACCCGCGACGGTCCATGCTCTTGCTGGGCGTCAAGATCTTTGCACAAGATCTGCCAAGCATATAGGAAGACTTGGAAATCTGCTTACATGACTGGGGCTTTCCGGAAAGAGAAAGACTGGCGCCAGCGGTGAACCGTTAACCTAGTCACCGCCGGGAAACCTCGTAGAGCTCCTTACACTATAAAGAGTGCCGAGAATCGAAGTAGATCATAAAAAAGAATTTTTCGAACATCTTCATTTTCGATTTTTTCGATGTTCATATTCGCTCAGTTCCTGGAAGTCAACTCATGAGAAAATGCATCGGGAGAGCTGAGCTGCAGTCAGAGAGAAGTTTATATGCCAATGCGACGCGCAAAAATCTGCGTTCTCAAAATGAATGGTTAAATATCTTTCAAATTTTCGGAAAACCGACCAAAAGTCACCAATTTGCCCGCCCCGGCCGGATGGGCCAACTAGCTCCAGCCCGCGCCGGAATTCCTCTAGCTCATCGACGACGAAGAGCTCTACCAGGTATGTGCTGCGCAAACTGTGGGAACTGGGAGCCGGCGGTAAACCGTCAATCAGATTACCGCCGGGACCCTCGTAGAGCTCTGGTGAGACCAGATCAGTTTCCAGGTAACAGAAGAAGTAAGTTCGTTGATGTGTGTTTAGAAAACTTCAGAAACGTTTTTTTTCTGGCTTGACAGAACATCGGTCCCAGTCTTTTGCCTGAATAATGGAGCTAGAGCCTTGGCAATTTCACCATCGAACGCGCCATGATCCACTGCATAGAATAAAAATCTGAATTCCGAAAACGAATTTCAGAATCTCCGAAAATCTCCGAACAACCGACCTAAGGTCACCACATTGTCCGCCCGATCCGGATCGGTCAACTAGCTGTACCCCGCGCCCGAATTCCACTAGCTCATCGATGCCGAAGAGCTCTACGAGGTACTTTCCGTGGAGTCCAGAGAAGTTTTCTTGAGATGCCTCGCGAAGATCTTGACCGTTTAGGTCCGCGACATGGCACCGGCGGTGAACCGTCAACCTGGTCACCGCCGGGAACCTCGTAGAGCTCTTTCCACGCCTCAGAGTGGTCAGAGTCGAAAGGGGGACCTTCTAGACGCATTTGTAGAA